TCCACCCACACGCGGAGCATCTCATACCCTCGGCTCCCAGCAGTGGGAATGCTGCTCTGCTGGATCCCCGAGCCCGCCACAGCTGACACGGAAACTGAGGACCTCAACCAGTAAGTCCCATCAGTTCTAACTGGGACTCTCTCTGCCCTCATGTCCTCCTGGAGAAGTCTGGCAAATTTATTTAGAGATGAAATATCTTTTAAGGCTATCTTGGATCCTTGGATCCTTGGATCCATCACATTAAACTACCTTTAATAGTTTTCTCTCAAGAAACTCGGTTTAAGCAAATCCTAAAATAGCAAATCCCCAAATGCAGCGCTCTGGGAGAGCTCTGAGCGCACTGGTAGATCAAGGTGATGCAGGTGCCTGCGAGCAGCTGCAGCAGTTCCGGATGCCTCGTCTCCTTCCTTGTGCCTTCATCCCAGTGTTGATGGATGCTTGTGCTGGGGAACTGAGGTAGAGAAGAGGAGCGTGTGGCTGATCCCAGCCCTAGGGCTGGTCCCTGTCCTCTGCCGCCAGGAGCACACACCTTACACGAAGCTGATGTTTCTCTCTGCAACAAGATACACTAGGGTCCCCGGGCAGTTGTGTAATGTAGCTTTGAAGCTCAGTCAGCTGCTGCAGCTCAGCTGGCGGGTGGTAATGCACTACAGCACTGTGTGCAGCTTCACTTGTGAGCACCCTTGCTGTCTGACTGGGCAAGCTTCTAAGGAGCATCACCTGAGGCTGATTTCATTCCATTACTACCCATTTTATTGCCATAACCACTCTTTCCTGATTCAAGCTGCTTTATCTCCTTCTCCCACCAATGCACCCCACTTCCCCCCCTCTTTGTATCCATCGGCAGACAACTTCTAAGCTGGCTGTTTCTTGGAAGCAAAACATTGAAGCCCCACTGCCAAATGAGAACTAACTGGCCCATTTTGTTACAGGCATTGGCAAGTATTTGCACGGGGGACCACACTAATCAGGCAGCAAGAACACCCATGCAGCAGTGGCTGGTGCAGGGACAGGCACAGGGAACCCCGGTGCAGGGCAGGACAAGCCGTACCGTGGGAATCCCGAACGGACGTGAAGGCCGTCCACGTTCTGGCTGACCAAGAACTTCAAGATGCCAACTCTCTGCAGCCCCAGCAAGGCCATATGAGTCTTGGAGGGCCTGGCGTTCTCAAAGGTGGTGTCGAATTTGGGAGAAAGTCCCTTCTCCTCCATAGTCCAGACGCCATTTGGCCCCCTGCAGCAGAGGGGACAGAAGAGCAATGACCACAGAATCTAAGACAACGCAAATGCATCTTGACCCCTATCAGGGTAAGACCAAGACTCTGTTAAATGAAGGTCATCTGTTACCAGAGATTTCCATCCTTGCTGCAAGGAGAACACAGGCAGGTTCTGCAAGTGCAGCTTAACGCCCCAAAGCAACTTGCAAGAGAAAAGGGGTAGTGTCTGCAAGGTGGTGGCTGCATACGGGATCACGTCCTGCTGCACGTGGCAGGGAGCACAGTATGGAGCTTTATGGGAAGTACAAAGGCCCAGGAGGAGATGCTGTTCCTTCCACCCATTCCATGCTGTCCTGCTACCCTCGCCGCTGTCCTTACCTGAAGTCGGGAATTCCCGAGGCAGTACTGATTCCAGCCCCTGTGTGAAAAACCACGTTTGAAGAACTCCTTATTAAGTCTGCCAGTTCACGCACCTTCTTCTCCAGCTCCTCTGGAGGGTCAAAAATCTGTCAAGAAGCAAAACGTGGTGGGCATAGAGGTGCTATACAGCCCCAACAGGGGCAGAAACCCGTTAAACCTTCTTTCTTAACCACAATGAACTGTAGGTGGCAAACAGGATTTCACATTACTGAATGATGACAGCATTTAACTGGAGAGAGGAAAAGTAATGTACAAGCAGCCCCTTTACAAAGGGCTTAAAACACCTTACACAGAAAAGAGTGTTTACTGCTCTTGCCAATGGGCACCCGATACCCAGAGAAGCAGCCTGGCTCGAGGGCACCCGGGAGCAGCAGGAGGAAGGCAGCGCCTCTGGGGCCGGCCCAGATGCTCCGACCCCTCATCCTCACGATTCCCACAGGCACTGCGAGCAGGACGAGGCTCAGAGCCCCGAAACACAGAGGAAGAAACAGGATCCCACAGCCTCGAGCAAGCTGGAGCTGCACGTCCATCCTGCTTTCTGGCACGGGCAACTGTTGTGGGCTCGGGGCTTCCTTTCCCCAGGACGCTCCCGGTCCCCGGAGGGGGTCTGGTCCCATCCCAGTGCCCCACAGCAGGCTCAGGACGGGTCCCCATGCAGCCGGGCTCCCCTGAGCCTCCCCGGGCAGCGCGGTGACCTGCGGGGCCGCAGCTCCGGGCTGCTCTGCCCCCGGCCACAGCAGGGACAGCCCTGGGCATCAGCGGCTGCTCGGGGACGAGGGGGCCCTGGGGGCACCGCGGCTGGGTCGGGCCGGGGCACACGGTGAGGGGGGTCCCCGCTGCGATGGGGGGGGAGACACGTCAATGGGGGTCCTGCTGGGGGTGCCTGGGGCGAGGGGCAGCCCTGGCTCGGGGGGGCAGCCATGCAGAGGAGCCCCGGGGCCGGGGCAAGAGCGGGCTCGGCGGGGCCGGGCTGCAGGGGGACACGGAGCAGGGCGCACAGAGGCGCCCGCGGGGCTGGAGCGGGCGGGGAGGACGAGGACGAGGCTGGGCGAGGAGGAGGAGGAGGACGAGGACGACGAGGCTGCGCGGGGGTCGCTGCTGCGCGGCCCGCGGCGGCTCCGCCCGGGCGGGGGTTAAGCGAGGCCCCGGGAAGCCGCCGGCTCAGGCCGGCCCCACAGCCCCTCACTCACCTCGGGGAGGCCGCACTTGCCCTTGTCCGAGTACGGCGAGAGCCCCGCCGCGTAGTTCACCGCCATGGCCCAGCCCCGGCGCGCCGCCCGCGCCGCACCAATAAAGTTTTCATTGTTGTCAATCCTCACGGCAGGGCGGAAGCGCGCAATGAAGCCGCCGGGCGCAGCGCGCATGCGCGGACCGGGCAAGGGGGCGGGCAGGTAGGAAGGCGAGGGCGGCGGCGCCATGTTGGTGCCTGGCAGCCTGGGCACTCGCCTTGCCCTCGCCCTTTTCTCGCTCAGGCCTCCCCCAGGCCCCAGCGCCCCGTCCCACGGTGCCCCCAGCCCGCAGGAAGGGATGGGGGATTCTTCTCTCACAGACAAGTGGCCCCAGGCCCCCCTGACCCGCTCTGAGCACACTGCGGGCCGTGTTTCCCTCCCACGCCTCCCACCCCGGGCTCTCGGGGGCTGCTCGGTGTCACCCTGCGAGAGCTGAGCGCGGCCATGGGGCTGCTGCCCTGCCTGGGCCAGGGAGCCTGTGCCGGGCTGGTGCCACCTGGTGTAACAGGAGCTGTGCGGCCGTAACCCAACGCCCGCGCGGTGCCTGGTCCCCCCCGCGCCGCCCGGCACCGCGCAGCGGGCGAGGAGGGGACGGGGCAGCTCGGCCCGGGGCAGCTGCAGGGTGAGGAAGGGTCTGCGGAGAGCGGCGGGATGGCAGGACAGGGAGACCCGGAGCTGGGTGCTCCCGGCTCGTGTGGGCCTGGCTTTGGGGGCGGCTGCGCTGGGGAGGGGGCGCGGGGTCCTCACAGAGGCAAGCAGGGCCGCGGGGCTGTCCCCGTGCGGCGGCAGGGACCCCAGCCCTCACTGCTCGGTGCTCTGCCTTGTCCAGCACGGCCGACCAGAGGGGCGAGCGCCATGAAGAGCCTGCGGGCCAGGTTCAAGAAGTCAGACGTGAGTGCGGTTCTCGGGGCCGTGGGGACCTGCGGGGGCCGTGGGGACCTGTGGGGGCAGTGCTGAGTGTGTGGGCGCGGAGGCAGGACTGCGTTCCCAATGGACCCCTGGACGTGGGAAGGGAAGACGGCATCAAGGGATGGGAAATGTGTCCCCGGCGCTGGCCCGGGGCAGCCGGGAGGGCTGCCAGGTTTCTGGAGCCAGTGATCGGGTTCCCGCCGTGGAGATGGCGGGTCGACGCTTGTCAATAATTCAGTGCTGCCTCGCAAGCCCTGGACTCCCGCCATCCCGGGTGGTGGCAACCATGGCTGTCAGCCTGCTGGCGTGACGGCACCGTCCGCGATGCCCGTGGAGCTGTCGTAGGGAGGTGACTGTATTTTAGCTCCTCTGTTTTTGTGCAACTTAAAGCTCCGAGCATCCTCCTTTCCTCCTGGGGGCACCGGCAGCTGCTGCGCTCGGGGGTGCCCTTGTCATCCCTCTGTGCCCGGCTCCCTCGGGCACTGTGGGGCAGGGGAGGGCTGAGCAGCCTCCCGTGTCCTCCCGGCAACTGCCGGGGTCCTGGACCCTGTGCTGCAGCTCTGCCCACCCCCAGCCCGCCCCGACCTCCGGGCCGTAGCCTGTCTAGGTGCTGCCCGCTCATTTTGGATGGGGATTCCCACGTGATGTGTGCAGCACTGAGGATCTGAGGCAGCAGTACCCAGGGACAGATGCTTGGGAACAATTTGCGCTTTGGGGCTCCCTCCTTGAAGGGAGTCTCCAATCCTTGGGGATACAACCGTCCTCCTCGCCCTCCCCGAGGCCTGTGGGGAGAGCTGAGGTCTGTGCCTCCAGGACAGGATGGCAAGTCCTAATCCCCCTCCTTCAAGGGTCTAGGTGATAGGAAGATGCTCTGGCTCAGGGTCTGGGTGACAGGAGGGTGCTCCTGTCCTTGATTTGGGGGAGCACCCCAAGAGGGAGGGGTGATTCCTCCCATCACTTCCCAGTCCCTCCCGATCTAACGGGGACTAGCGCCTCGCAGTGCTTGGCAGCGCTGTGCTCGCTCCATCCATCTGCAGGGATGCAGGGATGCTGGAGCTCCTGGTGCTGAGGAGGGAGGGAAGGAGGGAGGGAAGGAGGGACAAGGCATGGATGGAGGCGGGCCCCAGCTCCCACTGCGGCAGGACGCGCCTGGCTCTGCTCCTGGAGCGAGCCGGGCTCTGCGGCGCCCTGGCCTGCCCTGGCTCGGGCGGGGGACCAGGGGTGCATGGCCACCCGCCGCCTGCTCCTCGACACCATGAAGCAGATCTGCCTCTGTGCCGCTGCCTCCTTCGCGGTATGTCCCTGCCCCCTGCAGGGGGGCCCCTTCTGGACCCCCATCCCTTTCCGTTCCCCTGCACTGCGCACGGACCCTCCAGCCCTCGCCTCCCGCGCGCCGGGCCCCTGCCGTCCCCTTGCCCGCGGTGTGGCTGCGGCCGCTACGAGCTGCTTTGTCCTTGCATGACTGCCGGGGAGGGAGCGGGGAGCGTCGCCCTGCCAGCCTGACCAGCTCCCTCGGGAGACTGCTTTCGTTTCTGACCCAGGACAGGGTCAGTGGGGGCTGCGAGGGGACAGGAGAGGGAGCCCTGGCACTGTCCTGGGCACGGCTCCGGGCTGGCAGTGGGCAGGACGCGAGCGGCTCCGAGAGGTCACATCCATTTCCTGCCTCTCGCGGCTGCAACCCAGCTCTGGTTTTGTGGCCGCGAGCTGGGGCGAGAACCCCGGGCTTCCCATGCTCTTCCCAGCCTTTCCCTGTCCTGTCCCGCAGCAGTTCCCTCCTGTGGCCACCATCCTGGGCAGGTGCAGGGGGTGTCTTTGTGCCCCCCATGTCCCTGGAGACTGGAGCCGTCCCCAGGGACCCGCTTTTGCTGTCCAGCTCTACACAGCAAGCCAGGGCTGCCCCAGCTCTGGCTCCATCTCCGGTGTCAGCAAAGCAGGGTGACCGTGGGGTTGGGATGGGGTGCGCAGCTGATGGGGAGAGCCTGGGCAGAGTTAGGGCAGTGGGGGCAGCGGAATGGCAGGATCAAGTCCCACAGCAGGGGTGATGGAGCAGCACGAGGTCATGCCAAAGTCACAGCCGGTCACAGCCTAGTCCATCCATAGTTAAATTCCGGGAGCTGAAAGCTCCCTGTCCTAAGCAGCTAAACCTTCCCGTTACTGATGGCACCTTGCAAAGGGGCTGGCTTGGCGATGGCTACCCCAGGGTATGGGAATGGGAAGGAAATAGCAGGGATGGGGATGGGGACACTAGCCCAGCCCAGCATCCCAGCTGCCCTCGGGGATCAAACATCTGTCATGGCCCTGTCTTGGCTTCATTGCAGAGCCAGGACTGGACCAAGAATGATGAGAAGCTCCTGCAAGCTGTGGACTACAATGATGCCGGGAGGGTGACCTCACTCCTCCTCCGCAAGGGCCTGGTTGCCACCAAGTTGGACTCAGAGGGCAAATCTGCGTGAGTGCTGTGTTGTATTCTCATGTCCCCCTGCCCGCCTCTGCACAGGGTGTGTGGTGCTTCAAACCTCTCTGCTCAAAGCTGGAATCACTGGATGCTCTATGGGGCTCTTCCGAGGTTGGGGACCAGGGGCTGATGGCCCTGGACCTTGCTGCAGGTTCCACTTGGCTGCCATGCGGGGGAACGTGGACTGCCTCGAAGCCATGCTGGCCCATGGTGTGGATGCCATGACCAAGGACAGTTCAGGTGAGGGCACTGCCGTGAGTGCAAAACCCCACTTTGGCCTCCCTGACTAACGCTATAGACCACCCGTGGCCCCTGGCGCTTCCCAGTGCTTCCAACCACATCAGCAGATGCTGAGACCACGAGGATGGAGGTGAGGACCTCACATGCTACAAAACCAGGTCCTGGAGAGATCCCCGCAACCAACAGGGACCCAGACACTAGTCTATGATGTTCCCAGAGGTCAGGACTGGGGCAGACTCGTTCCTGCCCAGGCCCAGCCCCTTCAGGGAGCCGGGCTCTCCCGGTGCCCCAACCATCCAGCAATCCTCCCCAGAGCCACCAAGGAACAGAGAGACGTGTGGATGTCTGTCTGTCCCCCGACTTGTCCATCTGCCACCACCTCCTCCATCGGACTCTAACCCATCTTTCTGTCCCTCTCCCCAGGTTACACTGCTCTGCACTTGGCATCCAAGCACGGCCATCCGCAATGTGTGAGCAAGCTGCTGCAGGTAACGGGGCCTGGGTACATGGTGCCATGAGGGTGGAGATGCTGCTCCACCACCAAGGAACCCAGAGCACCTCACAATCCAACTTGGGCGGTCCAGCTGGCTCTTCCCCATTCTCTGTTAAGCCAGGTTCTCTCCCTCAGGCTTCCTGCCCTGTGGACGTGCCTGACAACAGCGGCCGGACGGCACTGCACCATGCGGGTGAGTGGGGACAATGCCGGGACATCCTGCTCCTGTCCCCATGGGAGGCACTGCTCAGCCTCTGTCCTTCTCCCCAGCTATCAGTGGTTGTATCACATGCTCAGAGATACTCTGCGATTTCAAGGCTCCCTTGAACATCAAGGACAAAGTAAGCTCCCTGTGCCCAATATCTGCTCTTGTGTGGAGGCTGAGTCCTCCTGCAGTGATTAAGCTCCACCAGACAGGGGATGCTGCTGTGTAGATCAGCCAAGGGCTGGGCTGGGGCTGCCTCTGAAGCACGGCCACTGCTGGGGTGAGATGCAGCAGCTATCAGTTGGTGATACCTCGGGTTCCCGGGGTGCTGCTCTTCTTGCCCAGGATGGGCAAACACACTATCCTTGCCCAGGATGGCTTCACTCCCCTGATCCTCGCTGCCAAGATGAGCCACTCAGAGCTGTGCCAGTACCTGCTGCACCGTGGAGCGGCAATAAACAGCCGAGACCTGCAAGGGAGGTGAGTCCCTGCTGTGATGGGGACAGGGGACTGATGGAGGCGCCTAGAGCCCTTACCTCTTCTCTCACTGCCCCCTTCAGAACGGCCTTGATGTTGGCCTGCGAGAATGGCAGCGTGGAGACTGTGGAGGTGCTCGTCAACGCGGGCGCCCATGTGGCTGTGGTGGACTCCATGGGCCACGACGCGGCTCACTACAGCCTGGCCACGGGCAACGCTCTCATCCAGCATTTCCTGCAAGAGGCGGCGCAGCGCCGGTCCTGGGCCAGCGGTAAGGGGGGACTGCCCCACACACGTGTTTGCACCTCGCAGGGTGCTCTGAGGCAGGGGCCTTCAGGGCAGTCTTACCCATGGCTGGTCTGCGTATAGTCAGCCCTGATCAGGGCTTGGGGACACAAGCGCCCTTACCCCGTGCGCTTGGGGTGTTTTCAAGCATGCTGTCCCCAGCCGAGGGCTGGGAGGTTGTGCTGAGCTTGGATCTGCCCATTCCTGTGCTTTTATGCCCTCAGACACACACGTTTGCACATACGCTTGCAGGTGTGCGTGGGTAAGCATACATGTGTGCAGGTATGCATACATGTGTGCATGTGCAGACGCACATGCCTGTTCCCCTGGGGCTGCACATGGGTGTGCATCCCTGCAACTGCGTGTGTGGGAGACCTCCCTGTGTTGGTATGTGTCCCAGGTATGCACACGCATCCCCATGCATGCACATACATGCATGTATCCCTGTGAGTGAGCATCCCTGATGCGGCCACCCCTGGGAGCCTCTAACCTTTGTGTTTCTCATTCCTACCTTTCTTCCTGGCAGAAGAGGAGTCGACTGGGCAGACATCTCAGGTGAGGCCCTGCCTGGCCTCTCCTGGGGGCTGGCCTCCTTGCCTGGCCCTAGTGAGAGGAAGATGAGAGTTTGGATGCTGGTGGGGTGGGGTTAGTAAGGAGAGAGGCTAGTGTGGCTGTGAAATGTGAAATGTGAAATCTTCTCTGCCTTGATGTCTCCACAGGCATCGTCACCCAGCCAGTCCACAGGCAGGGAGAAGAGCAGCACCCCGAGGAAGAGGAAGGCCCCGCTGCCACCCACAGGCTCCTTGAGCCAGGTGAGAGATGGGGTCTCACCAGCAGAGCTGAGGGCATCTGAACCTGCGTCCTGGATCAGCCAGTGATTAGCTGAGGTAGCTTCTGTGGGTGCCACCCACCCTGGATTGTGCAAGGTGTCCCTCTGTGGTAGAGACACTCCCCAGCTCGTCTCAGGTCCCATGGAGGATTCATTTTTATCCCTGGGCTGGCTATGCAGCAGATGAGTCCCAGCCCCAGTGGGATGCCTAGAGCCACCCCTGCACAGAGGGGAAACTGAGGCATGAAGCAACAGCAAGACTGGGTATCACCCCCCCAACCCCTGTGCCCCTGCTGCCTGCAGAGCACTGGGCATCAGCCTGTTTCTACCCACCTTGTGGCCCTGAGCACCACCTTGTGGCTGCCTCTGTGGGCAGGGGCTGGGCCCAGGGCTCTGTGCCTGTGTGAGGAAGCTGGAGTCCATTGGAGTCTTTCCTTCTTTCTCTGGTGTCAAAGAGTGCCCCACAAACCCCAGAGCGGGGCTCACCCTTGGCAGGACGTGGTGCCAGGGCGGCTGCCACCAAGCCTGGCTGGGCTCAGCCTGCCCCCATCCAAATGGTGAGCGTGGCTGGGAGTGGGGCTGTGGCAGGGAAGGGCACGGGCCCATGATCTGGAGCGTCACTGCTGCTCACTTGCAGGAGGATAGGGATGCCTATGAGGAGATTGTGAGGCTGCGGCAGGAACGGGCCCAATTCTTGCACAAGATCAGGGGCTTGGAGCTACAGGAGAAGCAGAGACGAGAGGTACCGGCAAACCTTGTCATCCACGGGGCTTCCTGGGGCAAAATCTCACTGGCGTTGTGGGACAGATGCCACTACGTCCTCAGGGATGGAGAAGAGGGGAGGGATGGGGATGGTGGTTAACCCCATCATGTCTCTGTGTCCTGCTAGCGGGCAGAGCTGGATGAGGGCTCCATTCGCTCCATGGAGAAGCAGGTGAGCCCAGTGGGCAGTGCCCGACAAGGAGGTAACTGATGTTTATGGCTCTCTGAGGGGTCCCTACCCAGGCTGGTTTTGCCAGCATCAGCGTCTGGCACCTTACTGGGGTGTTGGGTTGTCATGAAGGAGCTCCCACACCTCCATTTGCCTCTTCAGATCCAGGAGCTGGAGCAGCGGCTGGCAGCACGCGATGGTGAGAAGCAGCGTCTGGGCAAGGAGGTGGAGGCTCTGCGAAGTCGCTTGTCCTCACTGGAGGTGGGAGCAGGCAGCACTGGCAGCACCGGCGCGCTGGGGAGGGGCTGTCTCCATGCCCAGGAGGTGCAGGGTGCTGACACCCATGGCTCTGTGCTCAGAATGAGAAGGAGAACACGAGCTATGACATCGAGACGCTGCAGGATGAAGAGGGAGAGCTGCTTGAGTTCCCAGGTAGGGCCACGCTGGCCCCTGAGGCCCCTGCAAGGACAGGTGTCTGCTGGGGCTGGGCATCCTTTGGGGAAGAGATATTTCATGGGGGGAATCTCCCTGGTACGGGACGATGCCTCTCTGGGACATGGCACCACGTGCTTTCTGTGTCCCTGCAGGGGCAGAGCTGCTGCTCTCCAAAAAGACGCTGAGCCCCTCGACTGAAGAGCTGCTAGCCACGCTGCAGGGCCAGGTGCATTCCCTCACCATGCAGAACAAGGAGCTGAGGGAGAAAATACAGGTAACATGTCCAGCCCACCTCTCTGTCCAGCCCACCTTGATCCCCCTCCACCCTCGGGTTGCCTCACTGTCCCTTTGGTAGATCCTGGAGAACTACGAGAGGGACGAGAGCGACCGGGCCACCTCGGGTGACTTTGTCCCCGTCGGCCTCTACAACTCCCTCAAGTGTGAACTGGAGCAGCTGAAGGAGCAGCACGCCGCGGCGCAGGCTGCCTTGCGCACCCTGCACGATGGCCAGCCCAAGGGCAAGGCTGTGCTGCCCAAGGCAGGCGGGCAGATGAAGAATGAGGATGAGGGGCAGATGCACACAAAGCAGGAAGACGTGAGCAAAGGCGGCATCCGCAGGGAGGCGAGCCCTGGGCGGGAGACGAGCAGCGCAGCCGGGGAGAGAAGCACTGTGGAGCAGCTCACCCAAGAGCTTAGCCAGACCCAAGGCAAGTACAAGGAGGCACTGGCTGAGGTGCAGGCACTGCGGGAGCAGATGCAGCTGGGCATCCTCTCGGTGGTGGAGCCCACTGAGGGTACCGGTGCTGAGCTGGCAGCAGCAAAGGCAGCGCTGCAGCAGGCCCGGGAGGCCTTGGAGCAGCGGGAGCAGTGGGTGAGGGAGCTGCAAAGCCGACTGGAAGCTCGCGAGGCAGCTGGTGGCCCCCGGGCCTGCTCCGAATCCGAGGACACCGTGGCCTCGCTGAGGGCGTCGCTGGAGGAGGCCTCACGGGAGAAGGAGGCCTTGAAGGAGCGCTGCGGCCAGGCGGAGGCAGCGGCGGAGGCCCTGCGCCGCAGCCTGGAGGCCAAGACGCGGGACTGGCAGGCAGCGGGCAGCCCTGAGCCAGAGGCTGGCGTGCTGGAGCGGCGCTTGGCCGAGCTGACGCAGCAGCACAGCGAAGTGATGGCCCAACTGGGGCAGCTGCGGGAGGCGCTGGACCGCAAGGAGGCTGAGTTGGCCGCCCTGCGGGAGCAGCTGGCTGCTCATCCTGTGGCCTGCCAGGAGCACGAGGAGGCCCTGGCGCGGCTGAAGCGGGCCCTGGCGGAGGCCGAGGGCCGCGTGTCACGCGACGAGCACGCCCGGGCCACCGGGGCACTGGAGGAGCAGGCACGGGCGCTGCGGGAGCGGGCAGCTCGGCTGAAGGCCGAGGCGGAAGCCAAGGGGCGCGAGGCTGCGCGGCTGGAGACCGAGCTGGCCAAGGCCCGGGAGGTGACAGTGCCGCGGGACGAGCACGAGGCGATGCAGGCCGGGCTGCGGGCGGAGCTGGCGGCGCTGGCGCAGCGCCTCAGCGACCTGGCGCGGCGGCACGAGAAGACCAGCGAGGAGGTGTTCCGCGTGCAGCGGCAGGCGCTCTTCATGAAGAGCGAGAAGCAGGCGGCCGAGGAGCGCCTGGCCGCCGTGCAAAAGCAGCTGGAGGAGGCACGGGCCGAGGCGCGGCGCCTCCAGGACCAGCACGGCCACGTCGAGGATTCGGCCCGGCTGGTCAGGGACAAGGACAGGAAGGTAGGGGCTGCGGAGGCCGCTGCGGCAGTCATGGTGCAGTGGGTGAGCTGAGTTTGCCGGATCTTGGCGCAAAGTTACGCAGGCGGCATGCACGCACAGGAAAGCCTGCGTGTACACGTGCGCTGCATGTGCACATGCACGTGCATGGATGCCTCGGTGCACATCCATCCACGTGCACGCTTGCACGCACAGTACCTCACGTGCACACACACATGCAAATATGCATGCTCAGTTCAATGCTCACACTTGCACGTACGTCCGCACACATTTGCATACATGCAAATGCTCACACGCAGGCCTCCCCCCTGCGCCTGCTGCCCTGGCCGTTTCCCTTTTTGCTTTCTAAGCTGAAACTGAAACCTTGGGGGAAGCTTGGAGGTGGCTGGGAGCCCCCCTGCTGTAGCCTTGCTGTGGCAGGGAGGTAGCGGGCACGGACGTGGAGATTTGCCCGGCAACCTTCCACGCAATAGGCAGGATTCCAGAAGTGGAATGGAATTCCAGGGATTCCAGGGGCGGAGACAGGGCAGGAGCAGGGGTGGGGGGCGGCGTCCCTGGGCCCCCCTAACCCCTCTGCACTGCCAGATCACTGAGCTCTCCAAAGAGGTCTTCAAGCTGAAGGAGGCCCTGAACGCCCTCCCCGAGCCCCGGGGTGCCCCACAGCTACCCCCCGACACTGCTGTGCTCCAGGCCAGGATCCAGACCCTGGAGACACAGCTGGCGGTGGGTATTGGCAGGGCAAGTGAAGCTGGGGGCACTGGTACCTGTGCCGGAGTGGGCTGGGAGTCCTCGGAGCTTCCAGCCCTGTGCTTGACCCACCTTACTCTTCCTGACTTGAAGGAGATGGAGACGCGGCACAGCAAGGTGGTCACGCTGTACCGGAGCCACCTGCTCTGTGCAGTGCAGGTGAGTTGGGCATGTCACCTTTAGGGGATGGGGACATGGCCCTGGGGGCCTGGGGACATGGCGAAAGGGACCAGTGTGCTGGCTGGGGGCATGCCAGGCTGGCCCATCCACCCCTCCTTGTGTGGGGGTTTGATCTGGGCACTTGTCCCTCCTCTGTCCCCTGTGATGTTCTCCCTGCCCCCAGGGCCACATGGATGAAGATGTGCAGAAGCTCCTGTGCCAGATCCTGAAGATGCAGCGACTGCAGGAGCAGGGCAGATGAGCTCCGGCCAAGCAGCCAGCACTGCGGCGCCCAGGGACACCGGCAGCAGCAGCAGCGGGGGGCAGGCTGAGGCTGAGCCCCCACAGCCAAACCGGCCCGCTGCTTCCCTCCTGCTGCTTGGGCACCTGCTGCTCGCACACGTTCCTCACGCTCGTCTGGGCCTGTGGCCAGCCCTGGAGGCCGGGCCGTTATGACAATGTCCTCACAACTCTGTGCACCTCAACACAGCAGCAATAAAGTATTTATAGGGGCGCAGCTCATCCTTTTGAGGGAAAAGGACAGGGATGGGGACAACTGGCATGAGGGCAAGGGTGCTCGGAGGTGCAGGTGAAGCCTGAGTGCAGGGTTTGGGCACAGCTCTGGTGGTGTCCCCAGCGGCGCTAGAACCCTTGGGAGAGGCCTGAGCCAGTCACAGGTGACACAGGGTGCCCTTGTGGGGTGACAGTGTGGGAAAGGTGGGAGACTCTCCTGGTTAGAGCCAGAAGGACCCGAGTCCCGCTCTCCCGCGGGCTGCCTGCAGGGCTGGGCGGCCACAGCTCCCCCGGGAGCTGCAGCCTTTCCCGTGGCCAGGCAGGGCTGCAACTTCCCCGGCCTCCCTGGGGACCGGCACCCGGCCGCGCTGCGCTCAGCACTGCCAGTGGCCCGGGGGGCACCGGAGGCTCTGGGGGTGCCTTGGTGGCACTGAGGTGGAGGAAATGCCCACGGTGCCTGGCTGGAGGCGCCCTGGTGATAGTCCACAAATTACTCCACCTCTGACTGCAGTTGTGTCCCAACAGAGAGCCTTGCTGTGCAGCGTTATGAGCAACTCAGAAGGGACAGGGAGCATCAGTTTTGCTACATACAGTGCCAGAATTAAATAAAAAGACACCACTTCCCCCCACCCTCTCATTTTCATTGCTCTTATGCAAGGCTCCAAGGATTAACTGCTCCATTACATCCCGAAGCATCCTCAAAGAGCTTTTCTTAGCAAGCTGCTGATGGACATTTCTTCAGAAGGCAACGTAAGGAGGGTACCCCAGAGCATGAGCTGCTCCTGGCAGTAAAAGCCTCATTAAGCTTCCACAGTGGACTCAGCTGAGCTGCTTGACCCCAGTCCTAGGCAGCAGGGCATGCCTGCAAGGGAACTCCACTGCCACAGGGAGATGAGTCCGCAGGTGGCCTCACGGGTGACTCGAGGAGTGTGGAGACCATAAATGAAGAAGACTCTAGATGAGGATGGGAAAACTGCAATAATTTCAATATTGTGGTATTTCAGTAGTTGAACTGCAGTAGTTCAATAGTCTAAGCCGTATGGTGATAAATAGAAATGTCATTTATTTATAGGGTGGCTGATTTTCAGACATGGAAAGCAAAACGTTTCAGGAGCACGGAGCGGCCAGCAGGGAACCAGGAGGTGGGCGATGGTTCCCGGCCAGGGCCTTCGGTGTTTGTGGCTCCTGGAGGGTGGCAGCACGGCGGTGCGGGGGTGACGGGCAGCGCGGCCCGTGCTGCACCCACAGGTGCTGGCGGGTGGCAGAAGGACAAGGTGGCAGCTGAGGCTCCTCACCCGCGTTGCTGCAATCCCCGCCAGCGGAGCACGGGGGCACGCAGGGACCCCTGCTCCTGTGTCCCAGCACACGCCAACCTCACCTGACACGTGGTATTGGTGGTTTCCTGGGAAATGATCGTTTTTCAGGGGATCTGGAGAAATCCCGGTGTGCTGGAGCCAGTACAGTTCGTCCTTAGTAAGCCTGGTAGGCATTAAGCACTGCCGTCCTGAGCTGAGGTTTTGGAGCTGGGTAGGAAGGAACTGCAGTGCAGCTCTGCACTGTCCTGCGTGGGGCAGGTAAGTCATTGCCAGCTCTTCCTATGCGATGCTTTGGTTGAGTTCCCCTGTGCCTTGTGGCAGAGCCAAGTTTTGGGAACTGCTTGAGAAACAAAACTGGCATAAGAGATTAAAGCAGAAATTTGCAAAGAGCCTCTCCAGGTCCCACTGGCACTTGTTGAAACAAGTTCAGCAGAGCACGTGTTGAGAAGCAGAGAAGAAAGCTCAGTGAAGAGCTGCCTTTGGCTTGGCCTCTGCCTCTGACCCGTTTTCTGTCTTGGTAGCAATACTGTAGTAGTAGGAGCGGATTGTGTTTTCCACGGAGAAGAACCCTGGACGTTCTTCCCATCTGCGAGGGAAAAAGGAAAAAAAAAAAAAGCATATGGAGACATCAGAAAGGACAAAATTGTCTGGTGCACAAGGGAGAAGATACCAAGCATAGATGAACCTAGGAAAGAACAGCTTCTCTGTTGTATCAGGGCTCAGATAAGGAACTGAGACTTCTTCTGGGATGGAAAGGGACACAGGCAGGGAGGCTCGGACGTGTTCCAAGGCTGCTGCAGGCAAAAGGAGGGGAATGATATTAAAGAAAGAAGTATGTCATTCATTAGGCCTGGTGAATGAGACCAGGGCAGGAGATGCCATTTGCTTTAGATTGCAGCGCAGTGGACATGACACTCAGCAGAGAGGAGCTGGGGAAAGCCTCACCTGTAGATCCAGCACTGCTGCATGAGGGCGTACATCTCTGCCGGGCAGTCCATGGGGCAGTCCATGCGCTTGCCTTGCTCTATGAAACTGATGACCTCGGGGCCTTTCATTTTCTAGGGCAGGATCAAGGGGGAAAAGGTTTTAGTGGACATTGGTGCAGCAAGAGGGTGGGAGGAGAGAGATTAGACTGGTCTTCTAACAGGCACTGCGCTGGTACCAGGTTGTGCTTAGAGCTGTGTGCAGCACACCCCGGATCTTTAACCCAGGCAACCAACAGCGATGTCCAACTTGGCCTCCAACCTCCTCCTCCCCAGCCTGGGAAGAGCAGTGGTTGAGCAACAGTCTAGTCAGTTCAGTGAGTGGAAGGATCACATGCAAGATGTGCTTTGAATCATACCCAAATGAATTCCTGTTTTTGTTCCTGATTTTGTTTTCTGATTCTTCTTGCGATGAACACAAAGCCACGGGATCCAAGCAGTCTAATTAGCTGCTTTCATAAAATAGAAGTGAGTCGCTCTCCTTTCACCTCTGTCCAAGAGTGAGAGGACCCACTCAAGGAACAAGAAATGGACATTGCAGTGTACATCAGCTCTTCGGAGGGCGGGAGTCTACACTCAGACATCCATCTGTGGTGGATTGCTCCAACTCCCAAGCCATGAGCCAAAGTGCAACTATTTTTCCTCACTCTGCTCCTGCTCTTCCGTGTGTGCCTTACCTTATACGGTTTCTGCCCATAACTGAAGGCCTCCCACATGGTCACACCGTAACTCCATACATCACTCTTGCTGGAAAACTTGTGATAGAGGATGCACTCCGGGGCATACCATTTCAAGGGCCACTTTCCTGCTGTCCTGGCCTGCAGGCAAGCAAGGAAGAATGTTTTTACCCTGAGATGGATCGCGACACAACAGTGTGCTCTGTTAAAATCTGCTTTGCTAAATGCTTTGATCAAAAGCAATCACTCGGTATTGCATGAGAATAATAGGCAAAATTCAGTACAAATGACTAAGAGAACCTTATAATGAAATAACCTCTCTGTCAGACAGGGACTCGATCCCTGAGCTGTTGTATTTCTTTTCAAGGATTCATAAATAAATCTGAACTATTTGAATCTGGACCTGAATCTATCTGGACTTGAATCTAGACTGGGATTAAATTCATCACAATTTCAAAGGAGAGATACTAGGTAAGAACCTGTAATTTGCTGTAAGGAATTGGATCTCCGAGTGAATCTGGTGAGGGGATAAAATCCTCTGGTATGTGAGAGAAGGGGATCTGCATGTCAGTTGGAATAGATAAGAATGAACCCTAAATGAATTTCTGTGTGTGCCCCAGATGAAGCATCCTTCTCTCCAACTGCCAGTGAACATTTTGGGACACGTTTTCTGGCTGTGGACTTCAGAACTTGATCCAAATTGCAGCCTTCCCCCATAAGAGCATGGACGTATTTAGCTGGAGCCCCTCCTGCCCGCAGTGTGCAGCTCAGGGCCAGCTCACGGCTCTGCCCGGCCTCCCCTCAGCCGCTTCCAGGCATTCCTGGCTCGGGAGCATGGCAGCTCCTGCCCACTGAAGTCAGAAACCAGCCGGCATGTGCCCCAGCTGAGCGCTGAGGACAGGAGCTCCTCCAGGAGCAGAGGTGGCTGCAGGTGCAGAGTCCAGAGCTGCCTTGGCCATCCTTGGGCAAAGGGTGCCCTCCTGTGGTACCCACCTCTCCACTGGCACCCTGAGAGCCACCCGGGGAGCAGCCCGGCCCTGCGTAACCTGCAGACGAGCGGAAGCATCAACCCTGACTCATTCAAAGCTGCCTGTTCTTCGCTGCTCTCGCTCCTCTCCAGTCTCCTCTCTCACGTCATTCCGGTGAAGAGCACCCACCTCACTGCCTTTGTGCCGGTTTTAGTTTCTTCCTCGCCTCCGTGTTCTGCTGGAGCTTTGCAAAGCCCCTTTTGAAGTCAGAACAGTGAGGACAGCCAGAATATGATAAAGTCATGCAGCAGGGTTCCCAGGAATCGCTCAGAGCCACTATCCCTGGGAGTCTCACCAGGAAGGCCCTTTCTCTTGGATCTTTTGCTGTGCTTCCACTTACCTTGTAATAGCTGTCATCCGCTCCAAGAGCCTTGGAGAGCCCAAAATCACTGATCTTGGCATAATGCTGGTTGACCAGCAGGACATTTCTGGCTGCCAGATCCCTATGGACAAAGTTTTTTTCCTCCAAGTACTTCATCCCCATGGACACTTGATGCATCAGCTCCACAATATTGCTGACTGCGATCTCATCTCTGGGGAGGACAGGAGGACAATGCAGTCATGAAACTGTTGGACAGCAGGGACCTGTCATTACTCTGCACACCACAGCCCCCTTTGAAGTTTCTTGCTGCAAGAGAGAGTCATAGACATCTCTGCTGCAGATGCAGCAGTCCCTATTACCTCACATGAAAAGAAATCACCTTTTGCTGTTATTAGCCTCCCTCCACATACAAAACCAGGCTCCCTTGACAGCAAAGAGTATGATGAGAAGCACAGAGAATCAGACAGCCGTGCTTGTTTTAGTACTCACTTCTTGGAAGCCAAGAACTTGTTGAGAGGCCCTCCA